TGTTTTTTCCTTGAGACGAAATTTTGTTTTCTTGGGTATTTCCTAATTTGGTAGTTTTGATGCGATTAAGAAAGAGTTTTTTGACCTTATCCATAAGTCTTATTTTCTTTATTATTATTATTATATTATATTATGTATTTTCATTATTATTTTATTTATTTATATTAGGGAAAACATATGTTTAAAGACTTGAATTTTATATTACTAAAGTTTTCAATTAAGTTTTCTTTTTAATTATCTGTTTATAATATCAGAAATTAAAGGAAAAAAGTTTTAATTATTGATTTTATTAGTATTAATCAATAAATTTCAAATATTTTTCAAAAAATTTTTAATATATTAAAATTTTTTAACAATTTAATTGAAAAAAAAAATTAATTATAAAAGTTTTAATTAATTTATTTGTTTTGTATATTAAATATTATTAATATGAATAATTATTTTTGAAGGTAACAAAAATGTTAAATATGATTTTTTTGAATTTAACTTTTAAACAATACATATATAATATAAATTTTAGGAATATGTCAAAAAAATTTTGGTTTGCCTTTAAAAATAATTCCCTATATAATAATAATAAACCAAAGTTTAATAAATGTTTGCTATTTGAAAACTGTTTATAATAAAAAAATAAAAAAATTTTATAAAAATATTAATTTTATCCTTTGTATTTATTATTTTTTATAAAAATAATGATAAATAATTTAAATATGATGTTTAATTAATTTTTAAAAATTTTAAATTATCTTAATTAATACTTATATTATATAAAAATATGAATCAATTAGTTTTTTTTACATTATTAAAAATTTCTGGTTTTGCTTTTATTCAAGTAATTAATTTATTTCTTTTTAATTTATAAATCTCAAAAAATAATTATACAATTATAATTTTAATAGAAAAAATGAGTTTATTAATTAAATATTTTGTAAGAAATAAAAATTTTTATTGTAATTGCAAGTTAATTTATCACTATCATTATTATATTATATTATTCTATTCTATATTATTTATATATTATTTATATATTTATTAATTGACTATCACATTTTGCAAATTTATATTAAGCTCTTCAAGTTTAACTTTTTTACTGACATAATTTTATGCATCAAATCCAATGCCAGGTCACTATTCTATGCTTTATGCTTTGTACTGCATTTTAAGCTATCATGATCTATCAATATTATTGCTTATGCTAACGGTATATATAGTTTAAAATCTTTAATTAAATTTAATAATTATTGAAAATAAGAATGCATAAGATTATATAGAAATTTTATTTGAAATTATTTTTTATCTTATTTAAATAATCTAAAAAATATAGTTGACAAATATACAGTATTTCAAGATAATAATGTCAAAATTCATATTGTTAACCCTATTTTATGTTAATACTATCCAATTTTTTTAACCTTCATACAATCCTAATCTCAATCCCATTGAATATCTTTGGGATGAATAAAACACTGTATCCATAAACACATTCCTTTATCAAATATTCAATCAATTCATTGCAGGATAGAGTGATTGGTATTACGTAATAATTCAATAAAGATCCCATGTCTCCAATAGTACTGTGACGTAATAGTGAAGATCACCAGTTTTTAGCATAAGCTGTTGTGTTTTTTTTCTTGATAAACAAAAGGCTGGACTGATATACGAAAATGAATGAAAAGAAAGGCCCGTTTAATAGTCCTCTAGACAGTCCTTTAACAAGGTCTTTATTTATACTTACTGAATAATCTGTTTTAAACCCGTTTTAACTCTTGATTTATGCATTTGTTGTAGGTCCATCATCAATATCATGGTATTTGTGGTGGGTTCCAAAGTTAATGAATCCTTTGAAGTTGAAGGTCAGGCAGGAATGAATATTTCAAAACTACGGGAAGTAATATATGAAAAGAACAAGAACTATTTAAAAAAATTTGATTCCTGCGATTTGAATCTATGGAAGGTGGATATTCCCGGCAATGCAGCAAACAATAAATTCGTTAAATTGAGAACACTCGAAAGCAGATCTCATAATGAAGATACTATTATACAAGAGCTCGAAGGACAAGAGTTGACTCCATTTGATGATTTTGATACCATTTTTGCGTATAGTGATCTGAAGAACATTCGCATCATCGTGCAACCACCACCGCCTGCCACCAATGGTAAGTGTCTCCCGATAGTTTATCTCTCGAAAAGAATTCGTGTTATCTCACCTTTTTCTTATTCGATTAGAAAAAAGAAGTTGCGAATACTCAGACTTAGATGGAGCCCGAAAAAAGAATAAAAAAACACGTGCGTTATATATTCTGTTGTGATGTTGACTAAAAATCGTATTCTTATTTCATTTACATTTTTTAGCAAAAACCTTGAGTTCTCTCCTTACTTTGCCAATATTGCAACCTCCTACCGTAAATGTTCCTTCTCACAAGCTTTATGATCGTAATCAGGCTCTAAATTCAATATCAAGAGTTGCTGAATATAATTACCAGGGTCGCAGCAGTCCTGACCACAAAGATCATAGGTTCATTTTAATTCCTGGAGGGATGGGAATAGGAAAGACGCGGATGGGCTGGGAATTAAAAAATCTGTCCTCTATATTGTCAACAAGAATTAACGACACTGTTGAGTTTGTAGAGGCTCTAAAAGATCCCTGTTACGTCTTTATTGACTTAAATAATAGAAGTAGATATATTAAAGGTTTCGATGATGTGGAATATTCAAGTATACAAATAGGAACGCGTGTTGCAATTGCTTCAGGGTTGGTGCCTGGGTGTCATAGTCTAAGTAAACTATTAGAAACAAACAGTCCAAAACTTTTCGAGCTTTCTGACGTAATTTGTGAGATACTTCAACGTCGTTTTAAAATGCAACATCGTTCAGTTGAGGCTATCATCATCCATATTGACGAATATCAACTCTATATTAATGATGTTCAACAATATCAACAAGAGTCATGGATAAAGTCTCGCCATTTCTTTAAATCAATGCTAAGTGAGATTGGTAGTGTCATGCGTGGTAATAATATAAAAGATGAGTATTATGGGAAATATTTTATTATCCCAATCTGTACGGGAACATCAGCTATAGACGTTCATTTTCTACCTACAGAGTATACCCAAGAAATTTTTGAGCTCAAACCTTTGAATTATGTCTCAGCAAAGTCAATGTTCCTTGACAAATACGATTATTCAAAGCAAACAACAGATGAAGGAAGAAATCTAGTGGTGCAAGGCCTCAAATTACATCACTATTCTGAACTTAATAATGAAGACATCGAAAAGCTTTCAGCAGATTTTTGTAACTTTGTCCTGAATCAACAACACTTTCATATTGCTATGTTTGACACTGGCTTCATTCCAAAATTTATTGACGATCTCTTAAGTTGTTCTACCCTTACATCATATTTTGATTGGGGAAATCAACTCTTTACTAAAATATCCGATCGGAATGTTGCTACGGTTGGAAATAACCCAGGTGATTGGAAGAACTTGGAGGATATACGTACTGTAATCTCATTTGGGCTTACCGGGCATCATATAATGCGAGATTTTCTACTACCCAGTCGCACTTCCATTGGCGAACTTGAGCGAGCTGGTCTGATATATCTCTCCAACTTCAAAGGTTATTGGTACACTATCATCATGCCCTTCATGCTATTGAAAATACTCAACAACATGCTACTGGTTTCTGGCGTAGAAACCGTGTTTCCAGATAATCTTCTCCTAATTCCAACATATTTTTCCCCTTGGCAGCGGGAAGACTTTGAACTACTATACGGATATTACCAAAAGGCTCTTATTGATAGTTTAATCAATGTCAAGGAGTCAAAATTGTTATCCATTAATCATAATATAGAGCTACTCCAATCAAAATTAAAAAAAGAAACCGATGACAAAACAATAGTCCAAATCACTGATGAAATCAAAATGCATAATGGATATCTTGCCAACGAAAGAAGTATTAGCTGGCAATTATCTGACATATTTCGTGGCGCACTAGGTGCTGATACACTTCTCCAACGCAAAGTACGATTACATAACCTCAAAGTCTTTACTGAAAGTAAGAAGTTTCTTGTAGAGACAAACGATGTTGCAAGCTTTGATAAGTCAGTGTTATGTGATGACAATGTAACCCGCTCACTTGAGGGAGGCATTTTTCGCTGTTGCCAAGGGAATGCCAATATTGATCACCGCTGGATTCTTGATTCTGCCGATAATGGAAAAAAATTAGCGATTTTTTCACAAATCAAGTACTCAGAATGCGGTGTAACAACTAACATGTCACCACCAGATATTAAATATTGGTACGATATAACAATGAAATCAGTAGAAAATTATAAAGATGATTATTATGTGGTTCTTGTTTTATTCACAAACCGGAAATGTACAGGAAAAATCAACATCGAGACAATGCCTCATCTACTTCTCATTTATCCGGAAAATCTTGAGAAGTATCTTTCTCCAACATTTGCTCATCGTGGTTTGTGGATAGACCAAGCGAAAAATGATTTCTAATAAGTACAATAGAAGGAATTTCTTTATTGGAAGCATCAGAAGTACCGTAAAGTATAATTTCTTTTATGTATGTAAAATCCATAATATAAACTGAATTTAGCATAAATAAATAAAAATTTTTTTCGATGCACACATACCGCAAAGTTAAAATACAGTATAATGCCTGTACGTGGATATTATAATGCGAATCTCAGCGTCTTTGCTCCTATATCATTAATACTGCTAAGAGATTCTCATACTTTCATTCGGGAAAATATATTTATAAAACATGTATTCGCATAGGTGTAGTTGTGAAGAATCTTCACGAATAAAATCACACGTTCACGCCAACCACTTTCTCCAAGAAAAAATAAAAATAAATTTGAAGAACACCTACTATCACACAAATTAATCATCGGGAAAAAAGAATTGATTAATAAAGTATAAAATACATTGCCGGATGCAGTCAGAGTGGCTATTTATTTTTGAATTTTTGAATTCTGGCTCTGCTACTAAAATAATCAAGTTATTACAATTCTTAGTTGAGCATGTACAATGTTTTCTAATAAAAAATCTTCATAGCTGTAGATACTATCCCTTAAAGATAGTCATAATTAGAGGTGCAGAATTTATTGATTTTTTGATCATAATTTATACTGTATAAAAATTATATATGACGTGAAGATGTAATTCAAAGAAGGTATTATGCCTGCACCCCTAGTCTTAATCGTCATTATAAAACACTTAATCCGCTGTACGCTTCTTATTTGTGGGATTATACTCTTTAGTTGACAATATTCTAGTGATATTCGATATCAGCATTACAAGGCTTACCCTCGGCTATACACGTAAGCATAGTTAATGCGATCTGATGCTTTCTCACTAGAAACGTCTTTTTGATATGTGATATAAATTTTCTTCTTCTTTCGTAAGCCTTCGAACAATAGCGAGTGAGGCATTTAATATTGATTAATAAAAACATAACATGTAGCTTTATTAGAATTGGTTTGAATTGTGTTCTAGATTCAAAAGCCTCAATATCATTTAATTTATTCACTGTATAGGGGCTTTGTTATCATCATCGACTTCCTCAAAAACTACAAAGCGAGAAAATAAATTGTGCATATCTGGAATTTTGGTTGCCTTGACACAAAAATAAAATAGTAAATACCTTGAGTAAATTGATTAATGCACATAATATCCTTCCAGTTGACTTTATATTTATGGAGAATGTCTTTCAGCTCTTCTATTATTTTGATAACAAGAAACATTATATAGTCCGCTCTTTAAGATTCTCGATAAATTTATAATTGCTGTTACAAACTCTCTTTTTATCTCATAACTAAAACCCTCTGCCTTGTTGTATCAAGAAAGGTAAGATTTGAATTTTTTTTGTATAAAAATGTAAAATATTGTTATCAAGACCCAAGTTTTGCCTTCGTAAATCGGTATGTTCTTTCATTTTTAAACCTCTCGATCAAGTTTACTATTGCTTTCATTCGTTATTGTTGATAAATTGACGGTAGGCAAGAAAGTGATGAAGATACGGTATTACTTATATTGATGTACAGTATGGCATAAAAAAATCTGATTTACTATATATAATATGTTTATATGCATTTATGCATCAGGATTAGTAAAGAAAAATAAGCAAGAAAAAATTGATTTTTTTGTATGTAGATTAATAATAATCTCAAAAATTGAAAAGTTTTGAGATTCCTTAGGTAGTATTTTTGATAATAATATTAATTAATATAGATAGGCTATTTAATCTTATTATCTTATCGAATTTCATTTTCATATGTAATCATCCGATAATAAATGTATAAAAACGAAAAAAAATAGTGATAATCTATGTTACCATTGTTTCTTATATGTTTTTCCTAATAAAAAAATCACAAAATAGGGACAAAAAAGCTATAAGGAGATTGGGCTTGTTCTTTTTTATTAGCAGTTTTATCAAAAGTTATGTGAGATCATTGATTTTAAAAGGTTTGCTTAATCAAAAAATATAAAATATATATATTTACCTTTGGAATAGATTAATTAAATAGAATAGAATAAAAAAAATATTTTTTTCTTTTTTGTAAGTTAGATATCAATAATGTTTGATACTAATTAAACTAAATATATTATTTTTTATTATACTGTGATTTAAATTAATAATTATGTAATATTAAAAGAAATATTAAAAATATGACATAAAATAAGTAAATATGGTAGATAATAAGTTGAATAAAATAATTTAAATATACTTTATTCTTGTTTTTCTTTCTGTACAATTCTTTTTCTTTTTATATATAATATAAATTTCAATAATCTCAAAAATTCCACAAATCTTTTAAGTACTAATTATATTTTAATTAGATAATAATATTATATACTCTAAACAAAAAATCTTAAATTTTAATTTTATCTTAAAAATTGTAAATAAAATAGAAAAAAATTATGTTAATTAAAAATATTATTATTATTTTCAAGAATATATTTTTTTCTTAAAAAAAAAACAAAAATACTGCTTAGTCTATTTTAAAAATAATTATTAATTAATTATATTTCTTATTATTTCTTAATTAAATATTTGAAATATTTTATAATAAAGTCTCTTAATTATTATTATAGTTTTATTTTAATAAAAAAATTGTATTAAAATTAATAATACATTTGATATATTAATAAAATTATTTAACTTAAATCTTTTAAATAATCAATTACAAAAATTATAACTATATATTGTTTCTTTTAATACTTTTTATAATATAAAAAAATCAAAAAATAAAGCAAATTTGATATATGTTATTCTTATTTAATTAGAATTTAATTGGAGCTTAAAAAGATTTTTGAAATTTTTTTAACATATATAAAAAATAAAAAATATATTAAAAAAATAAAAACAATAAAAAAACTGTTTTTTTAAAAAATAAAAATAAACCTTTCAATCTCTATTGATAAAATATTCAATATAATTATATAAATATTTCAATTAAACAAATTCAATTATTAATTTTTTTTATTTAATTATTAAATTCAAAAAAAAACTATAACAAATTAAAAATATCAAACAATAAAAATTATATTATAAAAATATTAAAAAACCAACCAACTAATTTTTATTATCTTTTAATAATATTATAATAATTATTTAAAAATAAAAACTTTTCAAATATTTACTATTTATATTTTAAGTTATTTCTAATAAGTTATATAAATAAATAAGCTTTTTTTTTAATATTTTTATTTTAAATAAAAATATTATATCAGTATATTAAAAAAATTTATTAATTTTAAAACAAAGAAAAAATCAATTTATTATATATATATTAGAATTATAAATATTGTTAGCGTGTAAAAAGTTGATAGAAAATAATAAGGAAAAAGGTATAGTAAGTATATCAAGTATATCAAGTATAATAGGTATATCAGGTATAAAGTGTATATCAGGTATAAAATGTATAATAGATATAAAGTGTAAAAATAAGTATATAAGTAACAGAAGAAAGGACGAAAATGAGGGGAATTCCAGATAGGTACTATGCAACTCTGACATTTTCCTAGATTCCATTGTTGAACATTTGCCCTATTACCTGACCCACACACACTACACTTGAGGAATTGCCACACGAGTAGCAACCCCCTAGATCCCCGGATCTATCGATTGATCTGTAGTGCTACCCAATGGCTCGGACCAAATACACACACCTCTTTCGAGTAGAAGACGCGCTTCATTGTTACACGATGGGAGGCGCGCTCAAGCGACAGACTCGCCAGATTCTCACGCCAACAATATAAACAAACACTAAAGAAATATTCATAAAAAGGATATATTTATTCAAATATTTTAAAGTATTAATATCTTTTGTATATAAAAAAAATCAATTATTAAAATTTTATATACTTAACAAAATTATTATTAACAATATATATTTTTTATTATAAATTAAAAAATTAAAAAATTGTTTTATTAAAACTTTTTTTTTTTTAAGGTGTAAATGCAGATCTGCAGAGTTTTTATTGATAAGTGCCTTATACCAATTACATTTGCAACATTAGGATTTATACAAGTCAGTATATTATATATTTTATGTAAATTATCCCTCACATACTACCTTATATCCAGTGCTCAGAAACTTATCACCTTGAGTGATTTCCTTTGTGATATTAGGCAGGAACCTATAGGGTGTAAATTATACATGTTGCTGAAATTCGTAGATCCTTGACGCAATTGACGCAATTATTTGACGCAATTAATTGAGTCACTATTAAAACATATAAATAATTGAGTCATGGCACAATTATTTTTGAGGATTTTGGAAATTGAGTCAACAGCAAAACAATTTACATCACATGTATAGTGTAAATATTCTACCACTAGTTTAAACTATCTAACCTATTGGTTCAGCTTTGTCTAGAGATGTCTTGATTAAAGGGGTTAGTTCAAGTGCCTCCTCACTTTATCACCAGGCTTCAGATCTCATTTCCACTGGCCTGAAGCTTCTTTGTGGAACTGTAACCCTTCTCACCACCTGCGGCTGGTTATTTTTTAAACCAATTAGACTCTGTACCAGATTGAGATATCCTGGCTAGGGTTCTAACCACCATTGAAAGGAGCGGATCAAGGTTTAATTAGGATGGGGTACAGCCCAGTATGTACACTCAAACGCAAGGGGAGTCTTAATTAAGAAAGTTGAACACATGCCTCTTGGCTTACCATGTTGCTCAACTACCATTGGCATGCTTCTGGCGATCATTATAATACTATTCGGATGATTATCACACCTCAGCACCTTTTCTGAAGATTACAATCCCAACGTTCCACTGGATCAGCGTGCAAATGACTTTCTATGGAAAACAGAGCTTAACAAGTTATGGCCCCAAATACCATTCTTAATTCGGTTCAACTGCCTTCACCTGGAATTGAACTGATATTTTGTGATCTGACCTGTGGAGTATTAACTACTACACTATAAACCCACAGGTCTTGTTTTATTAAAACTTATTATTTTATTAAAATTAATTTATTT